CTTTGCCTTGACTCCTTCCTGATGCCTAGGTCCGTCTTGGATGGTGAACCTACAGCCGTGTTGAAGATGGTTCCTTCCTCCATCTGCCAGTGCCTGTCAATCAGCACTTCGGTGGATGGGTGTGGTCTTGAAGAATGCTATTCTTAGCTGGGCAGTGGTGGCGCATGCCTTTAATCCCAGAACTCGGGAGGCAGAGGCTGGCAGATTTCTGAGCTTGAAGTCAGCCAGGTCTACAGAGAGTTCCAGGACAGCCAGGGCTACATGGAAAAACCCTGTCTTGAAAAAATAAACAAAACGGTAAGGGAAAACCTAAAACTACTCTCGTGTGACCCTGGGCAGGCCTCACCATGATAGGATAGTTCACATGGAACCCCGGAAGGGTTTTGGGAAGCTTAATTTTGCTCTTCTCCAGGTCAGGATTCTTAACACACTTCCATAACACCATCACCCTCCCTTCCCCCAAGAACCTTCTCCCGCCATGACTGGCTCATCTTGCAGGCATTACAACACAGATGGCTTTCCACACCTCACTCCCTTTTTCCTCAGTAGCAGGAATCCCAGTTTAACTAAAACTCAGTTTAGCAGGCAGTTACTCTGATTGTTTCCTTTGCAGAGAGCATGTCTGTGTATTCTGTTTGTGGCCACGGACCTGTGATCAGGCACTGACTTCAGATTTCCAGAAATGGAATGGCCCTTCTTTAGCCTGTCTTCCCTTCCTTCAGCTGAACCTGGGTGATGGCTGGAACTCTTGTAGCCAAGAAGTAACACCCAGAATGGAAGCTTCATGCTAAGGTGAGACCAACATGTACCTGAGGCTCTGATGACATCAGAAGGCACCAAGCCAGCTCTACATCACCAACCTCTTTAAAAATTTTGTTTTAGTTGTGTCTATGCCTGTTGTATGTCTGTGTACAACATGTCCCAGGAAGCATGAGCTCAGATTCCGTGGAACTGGAGCTGCCTGTGGTTGGAAGCTGCCTGATGTACGTGCTAGGAACGGAAGTTGGGTCCTATTGCATGTGCAGTATACACTCTTTAAACTGATCAGCCATCTCGCCAGCCCCTATCTCTCACTTCTTTAGATCCAAATTTCCTGTTGTTTGCAGCTAACTCTAGTTCTGAGTCACTTATGTTTTAGTAGAGAGAACCAGACTTCAAATGAGCGAGGGGAGGCAGCGAGGCAAAGCGCTCCAACTTCAGCACCACGTGGTCCTCATGTCCACAGCCTCTAAGATGGCCACTGAACTGCCTTTAGACCCATGTGAAACAAAGCAGGGGGACCAAGGTGAGCACCGGGAAAGAAAACAAAGGAGTTCCACGGGACTGTCTTCATGTTGCTTCCAGACATTAATTCATCTTCATAACCTTCCAGAAGATACTGATCTCACAGGACGAAGTTCTGGCAGGCTCCAAGGTCTGCTTTCTCCAGAGTAAGACATACAGATAATGGGGTCTAGTGCAGGGGTCAGTCAGGCCCATCACCTGGATCACTGTTGGGGGCTGCAGACCCCTGGCCCCTTGACTTTCTTTGCCTGCCTCAGACCCTTTGCCTACTGGAGTGAACTGAGCCAAACAACTTGTATACCTGTGTCTGCAGCTGCTCTGAGCACGAGACCATGATGGCAGGGGATTGGGTTCTGGTGAGGCCTGCAGCTGAAAGATCCCGAGAGCCGGGGAGTGGCTATCAGCTAAGGATCCTACATAAGCTTCCCTGGAACACAATAAAGCTGGCATTCTTGTATCAAGGATGACCCATGTCCCTGTGTCTCTATGTGTGTGTGTTTTAAAGTCTCCAGCCTAGTTCCCAACTCGCATACGGGCGCTCCAGATAATCTGCGCCACCATGTTTGGTCTCTGAGCCTCAGAGACCACGGCACCTGACCTGAAAGGGCCTCTAACCTGTGTTTCAAACATAAACTCCCTGAGATGTGCCCAGGCTAGCCAAGTGTCAAGTAGAAAACGGGGCCAAGGGCTCCTGGAGAGCCAAGCCACCTGATGCTGCGAAATTCCCACCTAGAAATCTGAGACCCATATTTCTTAAAAATGAGGCTAACATTATGTTACATAAACTTATTAGTTACATAAACTTATATAAGCTAAGTATTTGCAGAATTTTATGAATTTTTGATAAATAAATGTTCTATTTGTGTGCGAAAGAAGTCTGGTAGGATCCTGCATCAAAATATAAACCTGGTAAAGAGGCACGGATATTACTGTAATCTGTTTTGACTTCCTAAAACAAATATGGAATAAAGGGGAGAAGACATTCTTAAAGTAAGATTTTCAATCAAGTGCTATAATTACCTTCTTACTCCCACCCTCCTGGTCTTTCCTAAGAGGTTCAGTTCTCCTGGCAACCCACCCGACAGGGATCAAATGGAAACGAGAAGATTAAGTCTACTGAAGACTCAGAAGCCTTGCCAGTGACTACATCCAATACATCTGTCTACACTGGGATGACTCACTGACCTAGAGAAGAGGGCTAGGCCACAGGGAAGGCAAAGATAGTGATCCTGAGCCCTTGGAGTCATGAGTGAATGGGCATAAGGAGGAATGGCAGGGGGTGGACCAAGGGGTGCTGAATAGGAACAAAAGCAGAACCACAGCAAACCCCAAGGCGGGTGACCTGGGACTGTGGAATCTCTGATCTGTAACAGAAGACAACTCTACATCTAACACCGCGGTGCTTTCCAGCAGGCACACCCCCTTGTCGTCCTCAAAAGCTTCAGGGATCCTGTCCACTATGCACACATAACCCTCAAAGCAGAAAGCTAACTCTTTGAGGAATACTTCAAAAGCAAACAGAATATGAACAGACCTCAAAAAGGGGCTCTTCATTTCGAGGAAAACCTGAGAAGCCAGGCTGTTCTTAAACCTCTGCACGGCATTGGCAGGCTTCAAATCATCCCCTTCCTCCTCTTCCTGCTCTGTACTTCCTGGACTCACACTAACAGGCCCACCATCCAGGGCAGGAGATACCAGCAGGTTGTTCTGGCGGCCTGGTATCACGGGCTGCCGTGGGGCCAGATGAGGCTGGGGAGGGGTGAAGGCACTGAAGGATAAAATGGACCAGTCCCGTATCTCAGTTCTTCACAGCACACATTCCATTCCAATCCTGGGTCCGCCCCAAGCATCCCCGATCAAGTTCACCCCTATTGTGCCTGCTTCTCCACTGGTAAACAGCAGCAACACAATCCTGGCAGAGCTCAGGACAAAGCATTTGGCCAGAGGCTGCTAAATGCATTAAATGCCGAGAACATGAAGTCCAAACTATTCCTCACTCAATGGTCAGAGATGATGTGTCTCCCCTCTCCGCCCTGCGTCTGCAGCCACAAACAATGGACTATCTCCTTTCAAATCAGTGTTAAATAATTCATCTCAGAGCATCAAGGGGAGACACAACCAATGTAAAAGTTGAAGACGAGTGAAGAGTCCATCGTTTTAGCCTGCACTCCTGAGCCCAAAACCAAAGTCACTAGCTCCTACTTCTTCCCTTCTGGACAGAGCTTTATCCAGTGATCTCTACCAAAACTGGCCAGATCCAAATTTGACTGTCAGTCAGTTAAGATCCAGGTTTTTAAATAATTGCTTTGTAAAAAATTTGGACTGGGGAGGTAGCTCAGCTAATAAATAACTTGCTGTACAAGAGGACCTGGGGTGAACTCCTGGAACCCATGTAAAAAGGCCAGTTGTCGCAGCACCGGGGAGGTGGACTGGTGCACCCCTGGGGCTCACTGGCCACCAGCCTAGCATAATGGGTAAGTTCTCTGCTAGCGGGAGAGTAACATAGACAGTATTTTGAGGAGTGACATGAGGTTGACCTTTGGACTCCATAAAAGTGCACATGTGTATCTACACATACATGAACACGCATGCCCCCATGTGCGCATGCACACACACACATTAGCAGGGAATGAAACTTTTTCGGAGGGCACTGACTGATATGGGTGGAGTCTCAGTAAACACTGAGGGTGGGACAAATGTGCTCTGGCTGTCACTGAGGCCACAATCGGGAGTCTCAAGTGCCACTGTATAGCCTGCCCTATATCCGCAAACCCTGGACTCAAGGGCACCTTGCTGAGGTGCCCAGTAGACACTGCCTGAGTGAGCCAAGGGCACATGCCACAAGACAGCCTAGGAGGGTTGAGAGGCCATGCTTTCTGCAGACCACTCCCAGACCCACTTAACCAACTTGAAGATTAACAGCAGGCCTGCAGCCTGGAGCCCTCCCCACAAGTCAGCCTGGCTACCCCACCTGGTCCCCTCCTCAGCTGTCCCTTGTCCTCCCCCCAGTCACACCTACCCTATTTTCTCTTTCTGTCCTTCAAGTGTCCTCATGCTCTCTTACCTGCCTAGCTCTTCCTGTAGACTTCACTCCCTCTGTCCCCCCACCCCTTTTACCTCCTTTCCTAGGACACAGACAGGAAATTCAGACAATTCAGCCTTTACTTTATTTTTGAAAATAATTCTGTAGATTTCATTTTCTTCCATGAAACTAAGGTCAGGCAACAAACAAAAACACACAAATTTCTCTCCAACCTGCTACCTGCAGCTTGGCGGGGGGAGATGTGGGAATGCTTAGGAAGGCAGGACAGAAGCTGGTTTGGGGCCAGAGATGTCCTGGGATACTTTGCTCTGAGATGGCCACCAGGAGCCAGCCCCCAGGGAGGAGCCTCTACACCAAACCCCAGGGGGAAAGAGGCACAGAAGTCAGTCCACTGTCTCCCACCAGGCTGGCACCAACTCCTCCTAACGGACACAGAGGGGACTGACTTCCAGAAAGCAGGGGTGCCCAAGTACAGGCTCCCCCAACAGCTGGCCCTAGCACAGAAATCGCTCCCTTTCCACCTCCCATCTCCCAACCACAAGCTGCTGTGCTGCAGGAGAAGAACACCAGAGAGTCAGCAGGAAGAGAGGCCAGGAGGCAGCGGCCCTGGCACCCCAACAATGCCAATCTGACCCTGAGAGTGAAGCCCCTTTGGTTAGTCTCATTTGGCCACAAACCCATTCCTTCTTCCATAACCTAGCCCCACACTGGGGAAAGGTGAAGAAAGGGGGAATAGGTATATAAGGTGGGTTCATGTTCTGACAGAAGTCAGGTCAGGGTCAATAGGCCTGGTCAAGAGAGCTAGAGCTGCCAAGCTCTCTGCAGATGCCCTTCGAGAGAACGCCCTAGCCCCAACAAGCCCAAGCCTCCCCATACCACACAGTGGTTTCTGTATCACCAAATACACCACACAATAGTTCTCCTGATAACAGGAGTATAACCCTCATCATGGTTTTTGCACTAGAATGCCACTGGGGGGGGGGGGGCACAGAAATAGAAAGATTATAGACCCAAGAGGGAAACACTGACAGGATGGTATAGCCCAGGGACTGCAGGCCTGTCTCAGCTCATGGTATGCCAAGGAGACCCAGCGGGGAAAGGCAGGTGCTAATTCCAGCTAGGATCATAGCCACCCCAGGTCTGTGGGGGTGCCAGATGGACACGCCGGCCCCGGAACTGGAAAGTGACAATGCCCCGATAGCCAGCCCTGGGGACACCGGACTTGAGGTCATCCATGACACCCAGGGCCTTAGCAAAGGCCTTGAAGCTGTCTCTGCTAGTGTACTGTACCCGCACCTCCCCCAGTTCCTTCTGATCATTGGTCCTCACTTTCTCCACCTGCAGCTGGGGGGCACCATAGACACGGGCAAGGAAATCCCGGTCATAGGCCTCCTGCTGCAGGTATGACAAGTCCAGCTGGGTGAAGGGCACGAACTGCTGGTTCAGCTTGATGAACTTAAGATGCTGGTCAAAGAACTGCCCATGGCTCACACCCTTGCGGCCAAAGGTCATCGTTCTTGAAATTTCTGGCCGAATACAGGCCCGCCCCTTCCGTTGCTCAGGTCTGCGCATCCAGTCGTCCCAGAAGGCCTTGGGCCACTTGGGTTCCAGCTCTGCCCACAACTCAGCCAACAGCAGCCAGCCTAGGCCAGGAAAAAAGTCTGTTCGATAGAGCAGCTCAGGTTTGCTTGAGTCTACCATCTGCTCTTTGCCGTTGTCATTCCAAGCAGACACACACCAAAGGGAGGGGTCTGTTCTCAGCAGTGGATAGGTGGCCTGGAAGTACTCAAAGAAGTCTGGTGCCACCTCCAGATCATCCTCCACGACTACAACTGCTGGGAACTTGAACTTGTTGAAGATCTGACCCAGTGCCCAGCGGTAGTGCCTGGCGATCTTGTAGTAACCCTGGAACTTGCGGTGGTCTGGCTGTACAGCAATGTTACTCAGGTCTGGCTGACGGATGTGTGTGATAGCACTGCCATAGGAAGCAATAACCTGTGCTGTCTCCTCGTGCCCACAGTCCTGGCTGACAATGATGGGGAAACGCTCAGCTGAAGGCCGATAGTGTAACAGCTTATCCAGGCAGCGCCGGACAGTGCTGCGGTCACAGGCAATGACCAGGATGGGGATCACAGCTGGTGAGGGGGTCACAGGCACACGGGGCCAGGCTGGAGGGGCCACAGTGGGCACTTTCCACCTCAGGTTCCACAAAGCATGATGATCCCTGATTTGCTGCAACAGTCCCCGCTGCCGCTCCAACTCTACCTCAGCATCCTCAGCCAGGCGGATCACCTCACGGGAGAGGCTGGCAGGGTCGTCATCAAGAGCACTGTCTGAGGGTAGCCTGCCAGGTGCTGGGCGTGTCCAGAAGAAGAGGAGCAGTAGGGCATTCCAGCCCACAAAGATAATAGCACCCCAAAGCACAAGCCCTGCAGACTGCTTCTTCAGCATCCTGGCCCCCACAGGGGAGGGCAGGCAAGGGGAGGGCTCAAGGCTGCCTTTGGCTTGCCTGGCTCACTTCCCCAATCTAAGGGTTGATTCTTCTGCGCTGAGATTAGGAAGAAGCCATGAACCTAAAGAGAGGAGAGAAAAAAAATCAACTGTTACCTCAAGTATGTATAATTCCACATGCCACAGAGGAGAGGATGGGCACAGGGAGTAACTAAGGAAAAAGGGAAGCAAGGAGGTTGACTGCAGGATCAGGACAGCATGCTCTACCACTTCAAAATGAGAAAACAGTCCTCAGAAAACAGTGTTAGTTTGACAAGGAGGCAGAGAATGATGACAGTGGGGAAGGGAGAGAGGGGGTAGGAAAGGAGAGAGGGAGAGAGGGAGGGAGGGAGAGAGGGAGGGAGGGAGGAAGAAAGGAAGGAAAGAACAGTCAGTCAGTCACTCCTGGTTCCCTACCAGCCAGATCTCATGTTCTGTCTTTCAGCCAGAGTCTAGTTCAGAAAGAGGGAGAGGTAAGACCATTTAACCCCCATTCCTCAAGTCAAACTACCCTGAAATTATTGATTTTTAAAAAAACCAAATATCACACCTGACTTAGTAAGGAAACACAATGAAGGAAAATGTTTGTGTCTCTGTGTTTAGTTATTCTGTTTAATACAATGATGTCAGAAACAACGTCAGGCTGCCAACAACACTCGTGTTTATGGAGGCACTGCCTACAATATTCAAGTTACGGAATCAGTCTCAGTGTTGGTGACAGACCAACAGACACACAAAATGTGCTACAGATATACAAGGGAGCATTACTCAGCTCCTGCTGATAGCATTGTGATAACATACCAACAACAAAACAACAACTTGAAAATAGAAGAGGGGTTGGATGTGGCAGCACATGCCTTTAACTCCAGCAGCTGGGAAGCAAGGGCAGGCAGATCTCTTGAGTTTGAGGCCAGCCTGGTCTAAACAGCCAGGGTTACATAGAGAAACCCTGTCTGGGAAAAAAAACAAAACAAAACAAAAAAAACAACAAGAAGAAAAAGAAGAAGAAAATAGTAATTACATTAATCTTAAAAATCATGCTGCCCACAGTCTCAGTGGTTATTAGTCAGCCAATACAAGTGAAACAACTGAAGACTGAAGCAAAACTATCTGTTTGCTAATGCTGTGCAGGTTTCTAGAAAGGGCTACACAGCAGTCAATGGCAAAAATCACTAACATACTAGTGAGCAATGGCCTTCATAACCACAAAAATTAGTAATTAGAAGAATAGAGATAAAAATCCTACGCAAAATCTACGAAAACAAATATTTAAAGATAAACTTAATCATTCAAAAGCCCATATGAAACAAAATTACAATTCCTAAAAAAGTAAAATACTTCAACATCCCTTTACTTGAATCACACTGGACTATTAAAAATTCAATAAATCTGCTTTTATATGGAGAAAAACACAGGAATATTTGCAAAAAAGAGTGGTGGAGGGACTTGTTCAAGGAGGTATCAAAATAATAATTACTAAAAGTCTGCAATTAGATGTGTAATAAATAAGTAGACTATCCAATGAAATAGAACAAGACTGTAACTATTACACAGGAATTTGGAAAAATGTAGGTATAAAATTACATCTATATATGGATAATTTCCAAGTGCACCAGAAATTCAAACAAATTAAAAACAAAACAAGCAAACCAACAACTAAAGTCTAGGAGGAAAATATGGGTGCTGAGGAAGGCTTTCTAGGTTTGACTCTTGGTGCAACAAAAGCAAACTGATGTTTTCCTTACTTGAAAGACTTTTACCTGGGTAGAAACAACACAAGGAAAGAAAATGGACTGAGCAGTTCTGCAGCACCAATCACAGATACAATATCACACTAGGGGAAGACTTCAAATAAGAGAGAAAAAAAAAGGCAAACAATTCTATGGAAAATGAGCCAATAAGGGTAGCTCATAAGAAACACATATAATCCTTACACATATCAGAAAATGTTCAACTTCAAGCATAAGCAAAATGCAAATTAAATATTACTCATGAGACTGACAAAAAAAAATTAAAACCTGTCTCAAGTCTGTTAGTGACCACTGAAGAACTGAAGCTCTCAATCTGGGGCTGGACTACGCCAGTAAATTTTGGGGTGAGTGGGTATGTTTATTGTCTTGATTATCATGTTGATTACAGTAATAGTTTTATGGATATATTTATCAAAACAAACTGTACTTTTTAAACACATGTGGTTTACTGTATATCAATTATATGTCAATAAAACTCTTCTTACAAAAAAGACACTAAAGGCTGAAGATGGCTCAGTGGTTGCTTTAGCAGGGGACCAGGGTTCAGACACCAGCATTCACAAGGTGGCTCACAACTATCCACAACTCCAGTTCCAGGGGATTTGACACCTTTAAATCTTTGAAGATACCATGAATGCACACGTAGAAGTAAGCAAAACACTTATTCACATAAAATACAAAAACTAAAATTTTTAAAAATTTTAAGATACTAATCATACAAAGTAAAACTGACCTAGACAGTAAGTTAAAGTAGATATTATAATAACTGGTATCTAATTAAGGTATGCAAAAGAGCACCCCAATTCTGAGGGAATACACACTGAAATATTTAGGGCAGCTTGTCCATGACAGCTGCCCTCAAGTAGCTCAGAACAGGAAGCAGCACAGCGCACAGGCGGAATGGGGCACACCCTCAACACCCTCAACAGCACATGAACCTGAGTATCTGTGTGTCACTCTGGAGGGCCATTTTCATTCCTGAAACTTTTTTGTAAAAACTGTTTCTAAATAAAGTTTCTTTAATAAATAAAATAAGGCAATGTGGACTCCATCTGAGTAACTTCATCCATTAGCTATTGTCCCAGCTGGGCACATTCAGTAAGGGGAACAAAGCTGACTGACTAGTTTTACATTGACTCTCTCAACTGCATACCTGCTCCTGCCAGGCCATGGTCTCACTGGCCCTTCGCTGCACTCACACCTCCATTCTCTATCCTAGCTCAAAACCTTAGGTTCCAGATCTACTCTCTACAGCCCTGTGATCTGGGTCCTGTCGCCCCAAGCCCGTCTGTCCCCGCAGTTCCTAGAATGCCAGTATTCACAGAAACCTTAGGTCATTTCCACTCAGTTGTGGCATACATCCCTACTTCATTATACTAGTTTCTTGGGAGAATTGAGATGTACCAGTTGAAGGTTCTCCTTTACTCCTCACCTTCAAAATGTGGTCAATGTTGAAACTTTCCCTATATTCCAATGGCCAGGATTTCAGGGTACCGTATCTTTCTGCTTTCTAAGCAAATGTCTAAGCAGGAAAGGTCTTTAATACAAAAGGATGGGAGAAAGACAAAGAGACAGAACTTCATTAACTTAAGTGCTGTCTTCTGGAATAGGGGAGTGGACTGTCCTTGAATTGTCAATGAGACACTTCAAACCTCAAACCTACCTACAAGTTTTCCGGCTGGTGGCAAAACCTCAAGAAATCACCTTCAAACGACTTTTCATTTTCTCTAGATGTCGATGCACCCACTAGCATGCAGATCAAAGTAAGTCAGGATTACCTGTCAGCAGGATTTTTAGCAAGTCTACAAACATTTTGAGTGACTGGATGGCTCACGGGAAAACCTCTCTCAGGCTCTTGGTTCCTTCCTGCCCTCCTTCCCAGCCCTTCCATATGAACTCTTCAACAGCACTTGTTTGTTTTGCCAGGAAGAGCACAATTCTTGTTGTGGGAACTCATTCAGGCAATAGCCTTTCAGATACTAGCTCATTAGGGCACGGACTGAGGTACTACAAGCACAGACAGAAGGCATGCTCAGCCTTTTTTCCATGAACACACACTGACCACGAGTGATGCCCTCTACAGTAGCTGCCATGTCAGAGGTATGATCCAATTCAGACCTTGGCTGGCAGGGTGGACAAGCTCCTGAGTCCTTTCAGGACCATACGAAGGACATAGCAGACAGGTATAAAGTCAGACAGCCACGAAGCAATGCTTGGCATCATCCTGCATTTTTCTACATCTCTAAGACTCAATTTTATCACCTCTAAGATGAAAACCATCATGGAATACTTCAGTATGCTGCTTTAAGAATTAGATGAGACAACCCACAGCGCATTTAGAACAGCGATAGCTATAAACAAAATAAATGTCGCTATCTTTGATGTCTTCAGATCATGATAGTCCACCTCCCTATCACTGTTCACACCAGTGAAACCAGCAAAAGGCAACACAAGGATTGGATCAGCTCCAAGCACTGCCAAACTACAAACTTCAGCAAGCAAATGTGCATGTAACCTAAGTGTCTTCAGTGTGGACACCACACATATGCACAATCCCTCCACTGCTATTTCCAATCCAAAATGCACCAACAAACAGTATCCTAAATTCATTCGACAAGAAAATCTCACAGCTCCTCATTTAGTGGCATGGGATCTAATCTAATATGAGGCTGTTTATATTCTCCACCCCACTTGAGTGTCTACACAATGACACTTGAGTGTCTACAGAAATGAACATAGTGGATTATCATGCACTGTTCTTAGAGTAAGTGCACAAAATCAATGTTTTTTGAGAATGCCATACAGTAATATTTTGATCATAGTCAGTCTGTCTCTCTCTCTCTCTCTCTCTCTCTCTCTCTCTCTCTCTCTCTCTCTCTCACGCACACAGACAGACACCCAAGGTCCAAATCCACCCTTTAACTCCTCTTGTTTTGCACTCCCATTTGTGCCGCCCATAGACTCATGGGTATGGAGCCATCCACTGGAACATGGATGACCTAGCAGCAGTCACACCTTTAAAGAAAATTCATTCTTTCTCCTCCCGAAGTCAGCGGCTGTCAACAGCTCCTCGGTTAGGGGAGAGGGCTCATGAACAACTCCCCACTCCGTACTAGATTCTAACTTCAGAAGCATGGCTAGACCTAAAAGCTTCAGATTTATGCCAAGGGTTGAAATAGTTCCCCATTCATCGCCATTCTTATTTCAAGCCCTCAACCCCTTTAACCTGTTTCTTTCCCTACTATGAATACTGTTTTAATCTGGAATCCCCGATGTAGCTCCCCACCTGAAGTGACCTACCTGTGGTCTCTCTAAAGGAGATACTTGGACAC